TTCCGTCTCAATTTGTATTTTATAATGTCATTAGAAAAACACAAATTGGAGATTTAAATCCAAGAATCGTTCTTGAATTCAAAGTAAGCAGTCAATAGTTATTGGTTTAAATTTGTCCTAAATTTTGGTTGAAAATCCATATTTAGCCTTTGTTTGAGTCCCATTTTTTTGGAAAGAATGAATTTTTGAATAGTGTATTGATAGGAAATGTGTGGTTAAAAAATAAGGAAAAGTTTTGGATTTGCGTGTAATATTATTTTATTGAAGAATGTGTGGTTAAAATGATATCAAAACACTGTTGAAAAATGTATTTTTCTATAAGAATGAGGTTCAAACAAGGGCTTAATTTTTCGATAGAAAAATTAGATATTTTTTAGCATTGTGGGTTTCATTTATATATTACTATTTTTGGCACTTATGATGTGTTATGCGTAGTTTACACCTTATGACCTTTTGATCGGGTTTTGTTACGAGTAGATTTTGTGAAAAATAATATTTTAGAGGTTATTTGGTTAAAAAATAAGAAAAAGTTTTTGGTGTTCTACGTGTAAAATTATTTAATTAAAAAATAAGGTACAAAGTAAATTTGGCAAAAACAGGTTTTAAAGAATTTGTACTAAAACATTGAACTTCATAAGAAAAGGTTTTGCTTTAACCATAGTTGGGCCTTGTGATTTCAAAAGGGAACAACAATTTTGTGAAAACTAATATTTTAGAGGATATTTGGTTAAAAAATATGAAAAAGTTATGGGCGGTCTACGTGTAAAATTAATTTATTAAAAAATATGGTACAAAATAAATATGGCAAAAATAGGTTTTGAAGAATTTGTACTAAAACATTGGACTTCATAAGAAAAAGTTGTGCTTTAACCATAGTTGGGCCTTGTGATTCCAAAAGGGAACAACACATGACATATAGGAGAATTACATTTCGACATTAACAAACTTGTCGAATTATTTCAAACTTTAGGTGTTAATTTCAATTAATAATATATAATTAATTAGAATTAATTATCCCACCCAATTAATAGTATCCCCACCGGCGCTCACCAAATTAATAATATATTAATTAGTAATATCCCACCCAACCTACACCTCGCCCCCACCTATTAAAAAAATTTCAAAAATTAAAAATTAATGATAACTCTTCGATCGGTAGCAACAGCATATGTTAGAATTCAATAATGGGACTAAGGATTCAATTAAGAAATTTTAGATTTTGAAGAAAAATAACTAATGGGTTAGAAAAAGACAATTGTTTCAAATAAAAATAATTGTTTGGAATGATGTCAAGAATCAACAGTAGGTAAATTAATTATAGAAAAATTTACTATAATTATGGTGTTGAAAAAGAATTTGAACTCTAATATTAATATCAAAATAAATTAACAAATAATTGGCAATATTATTTGCTTGAAATCATTTACAAGTAGTCAATTGTTCAATTAGAAATTGTTTTATGGATATTAGTAGACTCAAGTTGATATGTGTGATGGTTGTGGTGGTAGCAACTTTTTCGGCATTGTGTGGAGGTAGTAGTGGTGCATTGTATAAGATCAGATTTATTGTTTGTTGTCATATCTATGTTATTTGTAACTAATTATGATCAAATTTATTTTTAGTGTAACCGTCTCTAATCAATTCTGTCTAATGTGTGATTGCATGTAATCAAATCACTAACTTGTGTTATCTGTGAACTAACTGTGACCATGGTTGTCTTCATCGTGACTATTCGTGACCAAGATAATCTTAACTGTGACGATACGTGACCAAGCCCTCATTAATTTCTATTTCATTACATTCTATTTTTCTCTCTCTTATTTTTAATTACACAATCTTACATAAAATAATATTACATGTAAATCGAAAATTTTTCCTTCTTTTTCAACTACTCATTTTTCAAAAAAAGATTATTCCATCCATTTTCATTTCCAAAAAGGAGGGTCAAACGGGGGCCAAATCACAACTAATTACAATTAACACATAATTGGTCATAACCGACCACAATTAACACAAACTTAGTCACTGAGGATTAACACAAATAAATTCGTACACACCACAGACCAACACTACAATAGTTATAGACATAACTGTTCACAATTAACACAAATTTAATCACATCTAGTTACAATTAATACAGATTTGATCACAACTGATCAATACAAATAAATCTACCCATCGCATATCAGCACTACCGCATCCCAAAACAACAAGCTAGTTAATAGATTGAACAAAGAACTCCCACCACCACCTCCTCTAATGTACCACCATCACTACCATTTGCATTGTACCACCATTGCCACCACCTACCACCATCACCTCCTTTAATAACCACCAAGAAAATCATCCTTTCACTATTAAAGAATTATAGAGAAAGAATCTGCAGTTCTCTTTAGACAAAAAATCTTCCTTCATGATTTTTATTCACCTTGTAATCCCCAAAAGATAGATCAGGCCACCCAAATCACATAGCGATACCACCACCTACACAAACAACACCACACGCAGTCAGACCACCCAAATTGCACAATGCCATCACCACCATCACTTGTAATGCACAATCGTCACCATCACAACCTAACAACATGCTTGATAATGTTGTTCCATGGAGATAAATGCCTTTGAGGAAGCAAGTTGGCTGGTAGGAGGTTGCTATGATGGTGCTAGGGCCGATCAGGGAGCAAGTCCGCCGTTGGTAAAGGCCGTGAGTGGTAGTTAGGACACTTTAAGGTACGTGATCGGTAGTCCTTCCATGACTCGCTTTTCTCTCATTGCAGCAATTATAAAACAGCGGTGCATTGACGGGACACGTGTCAGTTATATATTTAGTCTTGTACTTTTTTTTATTATTGTTTCTGGCTTGAACCATATCGTTTCTCCATCATTTTCGACTAGCCCATTCCTTTGCTATTGATTGTGTAAGAAGGCATGATTTTCTCCCTGGTTCATCCCCTAATTCATCGAGTTCTTCTCTGATTCTCTACCTTAACAATTGCAATTTGTTAAGTTTTTCATTTCCATACGGTTGTAGATTCATCGAAATTTTAGTGACATCATTTGCCTGCTTCAACTTCAACTTCAACTTCAAGGTAATGTCATTGATTAATTTTACGAAATGGGTGTAATGTGTAATTCATACAATCCATTCATCTCTTCAATTGTTAAGATTTGTCTTTAATGGTGAATTGACGTAGTTTGGTTTGTTGTTCTAATTGATTGTTGTCAAAGTATTTGATCAATTGCCTGAGTGTACCTTCAAACTGATTTTGATAATATGCATTAGGATTAAAGTT